CTCCCCTCTTCCTTTCTTGTTCATGGTTCCTGTACCATGACTACATGTGCACCGGCCTCCCATGCCTGCTGCAACGCTATATCCGTATTTTCTCCACCCCTTCCTACATTCAATTGGTGAAAGTGGAGGGTATTGTATTTGTCTTTTGGTGCTTTTGTTGAGGGGTTTCCTAACATTATCACGACATTGTTGAATCCTGGGCGACGACGGTTTCAACTGCCTTACCCTTCCTTTCTGAGTGCGCTAGAGCAGCGTGATAATCACGATGTCCGCGTTCTCTTATGATATGTATTTCTGCGGGGTTCCGGGGCAGAATTATCCCGTTTTGTCGTCTTGGCCGGGCCATACAGCTACCCTCATTTGAGTGGTGAGGTCCCGCGCAATTCGAGCACTTTAGGACCTTGGCCTGGCACTCTGATGTCTTGTGGGCTCCTCCGGATCGTCCACATTGCTGGCTCCAGGTACAGGAACGCGTTGTGTGGAATCCCCAGCAACGTTGGCATTGCTAGATTGGTCTTCGGCGCGAGAAGGGAATGGCTGGTCCGCTCTTTTCAAATAGCCGAAATTTTGTGTTTGCTAGTTTTTGTTGGAAATGAACAATCCAGCTCGTTTAGTATTGCCCAAGCTTAGTTTCTGTGGGCCTTACCTGGATTGGTGTGGCGCCGCATACTGCTTGGCACTCGCTCTTCACCATTTTGTTGGTGACTGGGATTCTGCCTTCAAGCGTCCTGATGTCCAATGGCACGTGAGGTACGATCAATGATGTCCATTTGGACGCTTCCTCAATCACGATGTTGTCTTCCTGTAGGAGAGGTGCGATTACCATGACTGTATCTCTCAATACATCTGATGCGCATTCGAGAGCGATCCCCGACCTGACTAGTTACATGGACGAGATAGCAGAATTTGCTATCCCAGCTTTTTCGCTGATAATTTTCTTGATTGTGACTGGTGATAACTTGTGCCAGTAGTGATCTTTCCTCAATCGTAAGAACAAGCGCTTGTCTTCCTTTGGGGTTGACTGAGGTTTCGAGTTGCTTGCTGGAGCAGGCCTTCGCAGAACTTGCACGCTAGGCGGCGTCAGTAGTTTGGCCGCTTTGCGGGCTTCTGTCACCTAGGGCGAGCTGGTGTCTTGAGGCTTTGAGGGAAGGGCGTGGCTGTGATACTCAACAGCTGTGATATTCCCAGGGGCGACTGGTTTGGGAGTGCTTGCCATAGTGGAAGGTTTCTTACTTTGAAAGTTGGTTACTTCTGCCTGATCTACTGCAAAGGCAGTTATTACAGGCGTGATCTTTTCCATCAGCGTCGCGACGACAGCTGCTGATTGCTTCTCTCCTTGCTCTTGGCCCAGGAGTCGGTTAGTTCAAGAAATTCCTGGACTACGTCCAATCTTTCTTTTCTTTGCTGTTCCGCTTTTTGCATTGCATTCACAGTACCAAGCAGGCTTGGATGAAGTTTCCCACCTGGATCGGAGGGCTATGAAGATGACGATGCAACAGCAGGGGCCATTGCAGCAATTGGTAGCTCTTGTACGAGGGGTTGTGGGTGATGTGAAGTGATATGGGTGTGATGTGTTGTTCAAATGTGGTTTGTATGGTTAGATGATGACATGATTTATTTATCTTGCCAGGCTTACACCCTCCATCCAATGGACGTGACACGCATGGAGGACATCTAGAATACAAGTTCCTCCATTCTCCAGCAAAGTCCATCCGGGGAGGGCAAGACTGAACACCTGTCAGTGGTGCCCTCTACGAACCTGGGAGTGAAATATTCTCCCAGAGCCAAGTTCAGTCAAATTTCGCAGTAACGAACAAGTTGGCCCACGAGGCATTGATTCAAAATACTCCACCACCTCAATTTTTCACTCCCAAAAAGATCGAATCCTATCTAATCCTCATCAATTACACAAGTACGATCCGGTACAGCCTCATTCCAAAGATCACATCTCTCATCGAATATTCTCTGGCCTCAGCTGGTCACCAAAGACACGCCCACGCCGATATGTATACCCGTCGGAGGAAGCAAAGCGTGGCCCTCAAATCTAGGAGACAGTCCTTTGGGACGGACGTGAGAGGGATCAGGACAAGTTTACAAGATGATGCAGAAGAGGGATACATTCTCGACGGGCGTGAAATTTTGAATTTTTGCAAGGAGTTTTACGAATTGAGCTTTGTGCGCGCCAAGACTTCGCTTACGAGAGTGCAGCTGACACTATAAAAATAAGCAAACGATAGAAAGTGCCGTGGTCCGCCCCCTGGTGGTGTTCTCTGGTATGGTTTGACTAGCCTGGGTACCTACTCCATTTGGAAAGGAGACGCCTCAGACCATATTTCGCGCGGATAAATGTGAACGGATGATGAAGGCATGTCTGGATAACTCAGGGTTTTGGAGACGTTCCCCTGGGTGGGTATTCACGGATGAGGGCTGACTTGAGGTTGAAGAAAAAGCGACTATAACTTCTCAGTGGTACTTGCAAATGAAATCCGAGGCATGAGTGCCCCTCTTGTAAATTGAGTCATCTTTTCTGTACTTTTCTTTGATATTGTGTCATAGCAAGATAGCTGCATACGCAATTAAAATCTGATCCAAAAAAAAAAAGTCTTAGTCCGATTGGCCATGAGTATTTCTATTGAGGGTGAGTCACGGCACTTTGAAGTTGGGCTAAAATACTCTGCAGCAATCAAAATTTTTAAAAAAGTTCACGAAATTTAAACGCGACCTTTTGGAAAGAGTTGAAAGGAGGCTAGAAAGATAGAGATTAACTTTTGTATGAAAAGATAAGTTTGTAGCGTCAAGCTTATCGACCTGTTCGAACTCTTCAAGATGGTAGCAATTTGGAAAAAATCCTACTGTCGGTAAAGGGAGAGCTCCGCATCTAGTAGCCTTTTCTATTTAACCCAGCTTCCATACACTCACAAATGGCCGTCCTTTAAGGGCCAGCAGATGAGTATAGCAAAGAAAAAGCGGCCCCTCTAATTATGTGACCAAATGAAGACTTGTGAGGAATAGTACTTTTTGAGGGGAAGGGTATAAAGAAATTTATGTTTATTATGCTACTTGAGTGACAGACTATCCAGCACATTTGGCTTCTCTCCGACCCAGACCAAACCCTGTATAGTGCTCCTTATTGAAGGGCTGTGCTGGGCCGAAACGACGTACCGTTAGGATGAAAGTATGGAAGGAGGTAGCTATGGCTTTAAGAGAAGTTTGGTTCGTGGGTTATACTCTTAGGACTCGGATCAATGGACGAACTTGAGGCAATTCTCGAGTATTCTCAAGTGTGTGAATAATGTAGAGATTGCTTAAATTTCCAATTGTATAAATTGCTTATAATATATAGGTGACAGGACCTTCCTGTATATACAAGAATAAGGGGGTTTTTGCACTCTAGTGGATGTTCCAACACATCTCCTCGTCTAACCGAGAAAGGAAGGATGTGAGAAATCCTAGCGCCGACAGATACCATTAGGGGTCTAATGGGAAATACTATGTCATATCGATGAGTGATGATCTAGGTCAATCACATCTCATGGCGCATGTGCACATTATTCTAACGTATACAGTTTGTTGTAATGCAGTCATGTTACTCCCCTAATTACAACAATCCTTGCCTATTTTGTTACTTGAAAGATCATTGATATAATCCCCTTGATGAATAGCCATTCAGCTCAGTATTTACCCGTGGAATTCGGCCACCTGTTCCACGGAACCTTCTACCCAAAAAAATTAAAAATGGTAGCAATGGAAACTGCGTGCGCGGGAAAAAGTCTCAAAATACCTGCAGCCCCAGCCAGGCGAGGCCTAGACACCGGGACCACATGAGGTGCGCATATTCATCTATATCTCCCTTCTTTGTAACAGTCGAGGTCGAGGTCGACTTGATCCAATCCACCATCTCCGTATCAGGTGCTAGGTACGCTCCGGAAACTCATCGGAAGGCTTTTCCTCCATGATCAAGGGTTGGTGATGAGTAGGGCTCCGACCTTGACATTTAATCTAATCGTGGTTAGCTTCATGATAATGGTGACAGGAGAATGTATTGAGAGATGAAGACGATACAGACGGCGAAAGCGATTGGGAATCCTCGTCGAAGTGAGGACTTTGTAACTCAATCTCGGCTCTGCAGACTCTACAGTGAGAGCTGGAGGCTCGTAGGGGACACCACTGCCAGGTGTTGAGAATAGTCCCCCTCTAGGTTACATAGGTTTAGGAGGCAAAATAGCTCTTTTCTCTGAGTACTCAATATGTTTGCTCAGAGTCGACAGATCCTCTTCGGATAATATTACTAATAACGGATCTTAACTTGAGGTGACTAAGGAGTTTTAGGATTGAATATGACTTTTATTTGAGACGATGCCTATGATGTGGTTACGATCCCTCAAAAGCAAACGTCTATTAACAAAAAGAGCATGAATCGTGACGTGAAACCAAAAGAATTAAGATAGGTTCTTTTATGAACAGAAATATTTTCGAAATAATTTTCCACGTCAGATTTTTAATATTCCAGCAACCACACGGGGCACGACCCTAACAAGTAAATTAGCCTGTAGAAGAACTTATCCTATTCATATTATTCACTAGATAAAATAACATATCAAAACTGTTTTATAATTCTTGTTCACTAAAGATTGCTAATCGGCAGCGAAATTTGCTTCATCTTTCGATACTAGACTAATGAAACGCTCTTTGCTTGATTTTCAGATCCGGATCCGCTAAACTTATGAATTTGAAAATGAAGGAGATATAAGCTGGTCAACTTTTCGTTTAAGTTACTAATCATTAGCCTCTTAGAGTTTCAGTTGTTAAAAGGCCTCTCTTTTGTAAAATAGCTATTATAGACGTTCACATCCAACCCACCGACCATTATAAATCCATCAATCCGACCATCCATGTGAGAAACACCGCCCAGATGCAAACGCCTCCAATGCCCTAAATTATTAGAATGGTAGAATGTAATTTCACAATCGATGCACTATCCAGGTTTAGACCTCTGAAAATTACATGTCAAAATGGCCGCCATTGAACATTGGACTATCTTCGATACCAATCCCATCGCCCCTGGCAACACCACTCATATGAACAGTTTGAACAGTTTGGAGAATATTTGATCCAAAATTATCATCGTTGTTTCGTCGATCATTATCATCATCATCTGTATTTCCCCAGTTGTTGCCGATACCTATTCCGTTCATATACTCGTCCATCGAGCTCTCGTCAACAAAGGTAAATCCTTCGAAGCTAGCCTGCACTCCGGGACTTAATGGTGTAGATGTCGCTATGCCAGCGGCTAGTGCCGCGGCTCTTGCGTTTAAAGATCCAGCATCATTAAGTGCGTTCGTGAATTCAGGATCAAAATTAGAGGTATCCGTCACAGACTTGAGCTTTGGTTTGAATGGTGGAGTTATTTTTTTCGCAGTCAGAAGCTCCCAGTCAATATCTGCGAAAAATGGATGCTGTTTCAACTCCTCAGCCTCATTTATTGCACCCAGACGGTTTCGAGGGTTTCGATTTAAGAGACCCTTAACAAAGTTTCGACCTTCAGTTGTGAGAGTATCGCGTGGAAAACGAACTTTTCCAAAGGCAATGTTTTTGTACATTTGTTGAGTGTCTTCTGCATAGAAAGGAGACCAGCCACAGCACATCTCGAAGACAAGAACACCAAGTGACCAGAAATCAACCATTTTTGTATATCCAATCTCGTCCAATAAAACCTCCGGAGCGAGATATTCTGTAGTGCCACAGAACGTTTTCGTCTTGTCGTCCTTGGTTAGGTTTGCTTTAGAAAGACCAAAATCACAGAGGGCAACATGTCCATTTGCATCTAGCAAGATATTTTCTGGCTTTAAATCTCGATAAACAATACCATGCATATGCAGATGTTGTAAAGCTAGAATGAGTTCAGCAACATAAAATTTGGCTCTTCTTTCGTCAAATCTTCCCTCTTTTTGCAGATGCCAGAATAACTCTCCGCCGGACATGTAGTCAGTGACCAAGTAGAGGTCAGTAGGCGTTTGAAACGAGAACTTCAAGCCGACTATAAATGGTGAGTCTGTCATTGCGGTCCTCACCAATATATTTCTCTCTCCGAGGGTATGCGCAACTTCCTTCTTTTGCACAATTACTTTCTTCTGGAGGACTTTCATTGCATAAATACGCTTCGTATCTTTCTTTCGGACCTGGTAAACTTGTCCAAAAGTACCCTTTCCGATCAGTTTTAAGATCTGGAAATCTTCTGGTCCGTAATGTTTTTTCTCAGTCGGCTGGAAGTTTATCTCTACATTAATTTCTCCCAAGTTTCCAGTATCCGCATCATTCCGGCCCCGCAGCGGAAACCAACCAGTAATTTGTGACCCTTCCTTCTCAGTGAGGTTCGCCTTAAGATCAACCTGGCCAATGAATTCCTCGGCCACGGTTCCTCGATCATATATGGTTATGAGCACTCGTGAATCAGAATCTACCACATCACTATGTTTGTTAGCACTGATAGCTGTAGTTTAAATGTATGTACATACAATACGGCCTCAGTGTCCCATAAGGGATGCGTCACAATTTTATTTACTTTCTTGAAGTCTCGATGATCTGAAATGCTAGTATTACTACTTTGCCGGCTCTTCATAGGTATTGCCATAGGACGACCCGAGTCACTAGTTGTGCGAGCGATAGGATAACCTTCAATTACAGGAATACTTGTGACAGCTTTTTCTCTATCTTCATCCTCAGATAAGGGTCCTTTAGAAACTAGCTCGTTCCTTTGAAAGACTGCTACGACATATGGGTCTTTGCAGCTTCGTATATTTCTAGCTTTAACTAACTTAACCACCAACTTGCCTTTCACTACCGGAGCAGAGGTAGAAGGAGTCGGTGTTGGAAAATTAGAGGCTTCTATCGCGAGATTAGCCGCAGTAGTGACTTTGCCATTTACATTGACTATGTCAGAGCTGCAGCTGGCTGCAGATTTTGCGGTTGAGTTAGAGAGTGCGTGAGTGGGAGATAAAGGAAAAGACTTTTGACTGATAGGCTTTGCCTTTTGTTTGGATTGGTGAGTGGAATATGATGACGAAATTTCGGAGCCTAGTGAAGAATGAAGGCGTGGTCCAGATTTATTTTGCTTAGCGAGATTGATAGAGTTTGAAATAAGTGATGAATTGTGTGCCACCACAGAATTCGATGCTAGAGGGGCAATAGATTGGCTGCGAGCTATTGATGGAGCCGATCTTGAGCAAGTTTCTTGTAGTGAAATAAAGCCACATGATGATAACTGGGATACATTCGCATTCCTGGTGATGGGATCTTCCTCCTCAGAATTTAATTCCCCTAGGATGTTTCGGAATGAGTTTGTGTGAGAAACCGGCGGCGTTGGATATGGGTGTGTAGTCTTGGAATTATTACTTTCTGAACTTTGTGCGTTTCTTGCGCCTTCTTTGGCCGTTAGCCCTTCAGCGGGAACCAACGGAATAAACGAAGGCGGCTGTGATGTGTATAGCTTCTCCAGTTTCGGTGGCGATGAATCATTTGCCTCTGCTAAGCCAAAAGATAGAGGATCATGACTACTATGACTTGGAAGTGCAGAAGATACAGAGCCCACTTGTCCAAAGTAACTGTAGAGTATCCCAGGCAATCTTTTATCTGCGGGATCAGGCCGAGGTGTCGCAAAACCAGACCGGGGTGTCTGGTTGCCTGTATCAGAGTCATTCTGGTCATCATGATTGCTAGAAAAAATTAGCAGTGACTCAAACTTTTCTATAATCATTATATAATCCTCAATTGAAAAACTAAACTGATAAATTTTTTAATAATAGATGTCTGTTACTCGAAAGCAACTCCTCATGGAGTGTAGGAAGAATTTGACATAACATAAGAGCTCCAATCATCAGTTTAAATATAGCTGAAGGGTTCGAACCATATATTTCTTCAATTACGATTTGACAGGTTCAAATGGATTCTCACATTATCGCAAATATATCGAAAATTGTGGTACGGAGATTATGCAACCTACTAACTCTGAAGGAAGTAGCGTATGCTGTGCTCATCTTGTGTTTTCTATGTTACAAGGCAATTGTGTGGCCGGTTCCGACAAGAACAGGAGTTAAGATTTCTCGCCATCTCACCTGAACATCATGGACTGCGTGGCCTGCTTTAGCAAGTCCATCTCATTCCTGGTCATAATTAATTGGTCATGGACAGCTGACAGCTTAATTCGTCGTGAAGCGCTGTTTACTTGGATGTAGTAACTGCGAAGAAGATGAGAGTGTCGAAGTATAGTTCAGCCCAACTGATAGCTGTAAAGATAAGCCGAGGTGCCAATATTTTCGCAAATAACCAAGAGAATACGGGAAACACTCACTGCGATAGAGTGTGAGGGCTTTTTAATCAGACAAAATAGGAAGAAAACAGATGGTTTGCGGGGAGCGGAGGCCGATGCAGTCTGGGTGGTATGAACACTTGGATCAGGTTGAGGGATAATCGAGGTGGAGAGAGGCTGGTAAAAGTCGGGGAAGCGATGAGGGGAACACAGGTGATGGGGAGGGCCGTGTTAACAAGGAAAGGACGGCGTTGAGGCAGAGTTCGCTTATTTTAGGTCATCACTTGATTCCCCACCGCCACTTTAATCTCTACTCCGCGTAATCTAGAACCAAGTACTGATGAGTAGAGGCAGGTAGATTTGGCCAACGGACGGGTCAGTGCCAGCCCGGCTTTTCACACTGCTTTCGCGAATCACTGTGAGGTAACTAAGAATGGAAGACGTAGTGTTAAATTAAGACAGGGCTAGACTCGCGAACCCCAAATCTGGGGCTGGGGGAGCTGTCTAATTTTTGGACCGTGCGGCAATCAGTTGCTATTTAGAGGTGCAAATGGATTAACTGATAGCAGCCAGGCCGGGTCAACGGGGGAATCATACTCTTTCATGTAAATTATCTGACTCATCCAGCCTGTCAGCAGGGCCACAAGTACAACGGCAACGAATACAGACCAGTGTCAAATTAAAACGCTCTAACATTCCGCCATTCCATCAGATTGACTGGTTTTGGAGTTTTCCTACAATTTAAAACTAAACAAGTCAAATGAGTTTGCTCGGCTGAAAGACGAAACCGTGCAATAAAAAATCTGGCGGATCGAACGAGAACGACTCATGCTTCGTCACTTTTCGGTGCCGACTTAGATTCCTGACCCTCAGGATTACAACATCCCTAGGACAATACCCTCAGAATTCGGTCCGCGATGTGTTGGTATAATGGTTAACATAAGAAGGTAAATGTATTGCAAAATCTGTGTGGCTGTCGCTTCTACGAATTCGAAGTTCAAATAATTCGTCGCGAGTTTAAATCAGAACTCAGAGTCCATTACTTCCAAGACGAGGCGGATGCGTCACTTGGCTTGGAAAAAATCTCTGATCTAATTACCCAAAATTTCAGTGAGTGTAATACCGCCGAATACAGTAAAATTGGTCTATGAACTGTAAAGGGATGCGTGGCCAAGGCAAGAATGGGGGGCGTGCGGTAAATCATTGTGCTGGCGCCCGAGATTTCTTGTGTAACATTGTCTAAGGTGGGTGAAGATGAATTTATCTTCAGCATAGGGCTGGTTCAAGCTTATATGACAATAGCACTCGGGAGGTATCTACCTAGTGAGTGACGGGCCAGAAGGAGATTAGTCCATGGTTCCAGTGAGAATTAGTGAGTTCTATTTTACCAACTATGGAACTCACAGGAACGTGCCACGTGCGCGACCACGGTAGTCAACTTCAGAATGGCAAGTATCGTGCAATTTAATCACGGCTACCCCATTATACATCCATAGGGGATTTCAAAGCTAGCATTCTAGTCTTCTGACTGAGTCAAAATTTGTAATAATCCTGCACTATATTGCGAGGCTGATGAGACAAATCACAGATAGCGAGAATGAAACACTTCATAGTTGTAAAGCGAGTCGTCGCAATACTTCCCGCTAGAAGAATGAGTTTTTGAACCACCTCGATCTAAAGCTTGTATATGCCATTGGCCAAATGCACACAGACGTCCGAGCACTACGCACAGCATTAAATGTGCGCCCATGTATCATGATTTATGGTTTTAAGATGAACTGGTTAAGGCAGAGCATGATTGACTAGGGGGCCATGCGTCGGTTAGTTCAGCCTTTCGATAGGGCTAGCCGATGATTTTGGCCCAGAATAGAGAGTCGCCCATGCTCGACCCGCAGAGATCCTGTGCATATCAAATGATCATGCTTGGCATTGCACTCGTATCATGGCCATGGTTGAAGGCATGTATTACGTGTAGAGTCCACAGAGTCTTGGTCAGTGACATATTCCCCAAATCTTGCCGGCCAAGCAATGCTCAGGTACATTATGTTATAAAAATATGATTACGTGATCATGCAAGGGCTGGATCGTCCTAACTAAATCTTGGTCCCACACAAGTAGGAAACATAACCGTTATGTTGCCACGGTTTAATTACGACATTACCATTGGGAATTATGTGTATACAGTAAGACCCCTGTTAAGACGATGTAATCGGGGGTGTGAAAAATATCGTCATAAAGAGGATATCACTTAAAATATTATGATTATCTAATCCAGCTATCTAGGCTACTTAGTAACTTTATGTATATTTTATACTCCCAATTGCCGTCTCTAATCGCTCTAATACTCTCAAAATAAGAGAATCTTGAATCTCAGTATAATCAATCAACACTTTCAGAGCCATTTCGGCCTCTTTTGCTGTCCGCAAAGGCTATTCATCTTGTACTGCATCTTCGTCTTGATTTGCTCCCAAAAGTCCCCCTGTCACCTCTTGTAAAATATTTGCCTCATCAAGCATCACAATCCCTGCCTCTTCCTCCTCAATTGGATTAAGAAAATTGTCTATTGCCATTGAATCTCGTACATCTCCTGCTCTGACTACCTTATTAAACAATTCAGAAAGTCTAGTCGGAATTACAGACGTAGGAAGAGCAATTGGCTTGGAAATAAGAGACGATTTCCGAAAGCAATTTTGAATCGTTGTATTGATGACTTCGTTATTCCAACTTCGTAAGATCCAGCGAATTGCTAGTCGCATATCGACAGTTGATTGTGGATCTATACCCTCTTCAATTGCTTGTAGAGCAAAGCGGAGCCAGTACCGTCTGTAGAATACTTTGCAGTTCTGAATAATACCTTGATCAAGAGGTTGGTACCGGCTTGTACTTTTAGCTGGAAGCCAACAGATCTTGATGTTTGACGGAGGAGGGTATAATTCAACCGCAGAATAATGGGCAGAAAAATTATCCATTGTCAATAGTACATCTCGAGCATTTCCAACGTGGCGAAAGAATTCTTGAAGCCATTCGCCCATAACTGCTGTGTTCATCCATGCTTTGGAATTCCACCTCCACTTGCCACCCATTGTTTGAATACTAACGTTTTTCAAGGCCCGAGGCGTCTTATATTTGCCAATAATCCAAATAGGAAGTCAGTCTGAACCTGTAGCATTCGTACGAAAACAGAGAGAAACTCGGTCCTTGTTTTGCTTGAGCCCGGTTCGAGATTGTGAAAATAGCCCACGTAAAGGTAGCATTTTCCAAAAGAGACCTGACTCGTCCATGTTATATATGTTCTCTTCCTCAAACTCTCCTGCAATTGTCTATAAAGCTTTCATTTCGGCTTCGGCAGCCGCTGGAATTGACCCAACTTCACCGTGTCGTACCCGATTCTGAATATGGTTTCATTTCTTCAAATTCACAAGCCAGCAAGCGCTGAATTCAGAGCACGGTTGGCTAGCGTAATGTTGTAGTTGTGTCAAGATCCGCTTTGCCTTCCGACGAAGCAAATCGCCAGTTGTGATCCCTCCTCCTTGTTTAACTCGTATTTGCCACACCAGTAGAATACTCTCAAGGTCAGGCCAGTTTCCAGCTCGCTGTCGTAGTGCAGTTGTGCAGTAGTACTTGGAGCTTCGTCGAGTTTCGCAAAGGTCTTAGTCAAGGACTTGGAGGCTGTGGACTGGCTTAATCGATGGCCGTGCTCAGCAAAGAACCACTCAATGCACTGTTTTTGTGTTGGTTTTGGGACCTGGCGGTGCGCTCATCGTCGCAGAGCACGTCGTTGCTCTACAAAAAAGTCCCTTTTATTGGCGGCGTTATTTGCACCAATCTAACAAAAAACCCTGGTTAAGACGATATTCAGAGGTAGAAGAACGATAATCGAGTAATCGGTAAATGTATGGGAACGAAGTCTGTTCCGGAAAATATATGTTATAAACGGAAATATCGGCTTGATAGGGGTCATACTGTATGCATGTATATTGTATGTGTGTGTGTCTAAAGCTTATTGCGCTATTTAAGTCTATGAGTATCTAATACATCGGGCTTCTCTCTGATCCAGGTCACACCAAGTACAGCACTCCTTTCTTCTTTTGTTACTACAAAGGTCTCCGAGAGATTGCTCGTGATTGATAGCCATTCAGCTCAGAGTTTGTCCGTAGAATTCAGCCACCTTTTATCAGCAATCTCAGGAACTTATCCTGTAGCAGCTGGAGGGAAATTCCGGGTATCAACAACTTGATTCCTCGCGCATCATTCTCAAGAAGTTATCTCTTCCCCAGGTAGATCGTTCGTTCAACTAGCTAAAGTGCGTCACTCCTTTTCCAATTTTTTTAATTAAATTTTATATCCTACCTAAGTCGAGGACAATTAAGCCAGAACTAGTGCTCCCAAGAGCGGTTTACGCTCGCTTGATCGCTGCCCGAACAGGACTTGGTGACTTCGTGACGTAC